CCCCAAAACCCCAAAACCCCAAAACCCCAAAACCCCATAAATCTGACCCATAATAGAATATTTGCGTGTTACTTCACAAAATGGAAAACTCTCAAGCAGACTATACTACCGATGCTACTGAGACTCAGCTCCAGGAGGAGACTAAACTCCAGGAAATAGTTGAGTTCATCATGCCAGGTGTGTCTCCTATGTTAATCTTACAGGAAAGGACAAGAACTTACTCAAACCAGAGGATCTTGACCAAGATGCTATGCAGGAGTTAAAAGACTTAATTCCAAACTTAAACTCAATCACACTGTCTGGTCATTCTTATGGTCTTGATGCCTGTAAATATATCGGAGATATCATCAAGGATGCTCCTAATTTGACTGTAAGCTCTTTTGCTAAATTCTTCTAGAAAATTAATTTCAGCAACAGCTTCATTGGGAAAATGAAGGACGAGATTCCAGTGAACTTGGCAGCCCTGTTACAGGGACTCCAAGGCAAGCAAATCACTCATGTTGACCTCAGTGATAACGCTTTTGGGCCATCTGGTGTTCCTGGATTCGAGGAGTTTTTGAAAAAGACCCCATCTATCAAAGTTCTGAAGATGATCAACTGCGGACTTGGACCATTTGGCACTCCTGAGTTAGCTAAATGCCTTAAAGAGGGAAATATCCAGCTAGATGAACTCTATGCTGGTAGAAACAGAATGGAGTGTGTCGGATTCCAAGCTATCTCAGAGTATATCAAAGAAGTAGGTACTTTGAAGAAAGTCGAACTCCCACAAAATTTTGTGAAGAAAGAAGGAATGATCGCTCTCATAGATGCTTTGAAGAACAATAAAGATCTGGAATACATCCACATCCATGACAACTGGCTTAAGGAAGAAGCTATTAAAGAATTCTCTGGACTTTTGAAGTCACTAAGTTCACTAAAATCTATCAATATTTCAGACTGCGATATCGGTGGGGCTGGAGTAAAGAAGATCATCAGAGGTTTAGGCCTAAGCGAGAGTAAAGAGACTTTGCAATCCTTCTCATGTAACTACAACGAAGTTGAGAGATCAAAGACAGTCAGATTTATCTTCAATGTGTTCTCTATGTGCTCAGTGCTGAACTTCATCTCCTTCTACGGGAATGAATTCAACGAGAAGTTGAAGAAACAGTACACAGAAGAATATGAAAAATCTAAGAAAACTCTTGTGCTGAAAGACCCCTCTATTGAAGAAGACGACGAAGACGAAGAGGATGATGAAGAGATTGAAGATCCAAGTGACGAAGATGAAGACGAGCCTGACTCTGAAGAGGAAACTGAAGACGCTCAGGATTTACTCAAAAAGTTTGAGAATTTAAAAATTGAGTAATTATCAAGTATTCAATATTATGGGTCGTGAATGGGGTTTTGGGGTTTTGGGGTTTTGGGGTTTTGGGG